CCAAAACCCCAAAACCCCAAAACCCCAGTAATCACAATTGAGTTTATAAGCATTAATTTAAAAATGTTAATTTATAAGAAATTTTCATATAAACATTATCTTTAATAGCAATGGATTAGAACTTAAAAACCATACATTCTCAAATAGAGTAGACTTAAGCCTCTCTTGATTTTGAAGCTTAAGAAATAAGTTAAAAGTATCAGAGAATATTGCAGAGCAGTCAGAGGACTCTGCAAATACAAGAATCAACGCCATAAATAAAAACATTACAAATTGGAAAAATATTAGATGCAGTAGATACTTAGCCACAGGTATAAAGTGTAAGAATTTCAACTATTGCTGCAAATGATAAATTTGAGGAAAGCAAGTTAATAACTCAGGATGAAAATCAATAAGTTGTGAATGCCAATTTTGTATCTGAAATTTCCTAGTCTGTAAAAAATATGGGAATAAAACCATTTTACCTAGAATCGGGAATCGGCTCACAAGCATTCATTTATGCTGGACCTAATATTACATTTAATAAGGAGCAATCTATGAAGCATAATTAGAGTGATCTTCCGACTTCACTTGAGAATCAAAGCTTGATTAAATATTTTGAGCAAATGGGGAAAACTCTACCTGATAAAAATCAAAGGCCCTTGAAAGTAATGACTCACGCTAAAGATAACTATATGCATGATGATAATGATTTTCACGATATCGAAAACTATGAGGATCTCAAGCCAGAGAGACAACTTACCTATGATCAAAATATTTTAAATCAAGATAGTAATAGATTTGTACCTAAGGTTAAACAAGAGCCGAGAATTAAAGGAAGAAACAGAGATAAAGTTCTGAGATAGGGAAATAATAAGACTGCTAAGCTTGACTCTAAAAAAGATAGTGATATTGAGTCCGATTAAATAGCCTCACTTTATCATAAGAAAGGCTTAAAACTGGATTTTAGTAATAATGATGATAAAGTATTCGAGACTAACAACACCAAAAGATAAAAGTAAGATTCTAAAATATTTAGAAACTTTTATAACTAAGACTAGACTTAAGATTAAGATAAGTTTGAAGTATACTATGCAGATGAATTGAAATCTCCTGTTGGTTATTCCATTAATGCCTAAAAGAGACCTTTCAGTTAGGATAATGCTTTCGATGATAATTAATATCAAGATTATAATCTTGAGGTCTCTAATGAAAATAAGATAAATTACATTTATCAAAAAAACCTAGAATATGATCCTGATATTGATGAAGTTTTTGTGTCAAGGGTATAAAAATTTGATATCATAAGTTAGCCTTAGAATACATAAAATGATGCATCAATTTTAGTAGAGGTAAAAAAGAATTCTATTTCAAACCTGGCTACTTTTGATCTTATGATCTCTTCATAAATGAAATCTTCAAGCAGAGGTCAAAAGACCTAGACATGTTTGATTTACAATTAACTTATATTAGAGTAAATTTCGAGTTATCTCTATCTTCATGAAATGTGCAATCTCTCGGTTTTAGGTAAGAAAACCTATCAAATATTAAAGTAGCCAAGATTCGATAAATTATGGACAATGCATACCTACGCCAGATTCAATTTCTAAAGTAAAAGTGGGTATACAGGTGTTAAAAATTTTAATCTATTAAGAATAGACCAGGAGCTAAAAACAATATACTTTTAGTCGTAAATGATATTGAAAAAATCATTGGATTATCAGTAAAAATTGTTTGAAAATTGGTTAACTTTTACCTTTATTATGGCAGCATTAATTTTAGCAGTTTTATTAGCCTTGAAATCAGATATATACCAACTTGATTTCGACATTAGAGTTATTCTTGCTCCAATTACCCTTGCTTGGGCAGTTTTAATGATAATTTTAATAGTCATGATATCCCAAGTCTCTTATTATTTTAAGCAAGTTCAAAATCTACATAATCAAGAGCCCTACAAATTACTTAATAGATGCTATAAGAATTTAAAGGGAAGAAATTCTTAGGATAGTTAACTTTTCACAAAAACTGATTTCTATAATAAGTTTTACATTAGTGCAACAATAACTATGATTTCCTTTTATTTTGGCATTTTCTTGAAGATTTATGTACTCTATGATAAGATTACATTTACCTAAATAAGTCCAATCTCATTTGGACCAGGATTTTTACTTTATATTTCAGAGTTATTTTACACTCATTAATTGAATCATTAAAACTGGAAAAATAGGAACTAGCACTTAAAAAGTATGATTGAAAAATACGGGAAAGAATAGAATATGGAAATTTCTACTCATTTAGCAACAGTCGCTAAGATTGATATAGGCCTTGTAATTAATGGAATAGTTATACCTGGATTTTTCTATGGCTTTTGGCTTGCCCTATGCATGAGATTTGATAATCAAATATAGACAAATTTATTCATTCTATTAATCCCTGTTTGGGTTATTGCTCTTCCATTATTCATATTTACAGTATTAAATGGAATCGCTACTTAAAATACTAGAGCCAATAAATGCGAGAAAATCACTCTATCTGTTATGGTTCCTTGTAAGTTTATTTTTATTGTTTTTGCTAATTCTTTAAATAGTTGGATTCTTAGTATCATTTATTTTATTGATTCTATGTGCAGAAGGCATCATAAAAACTAAGCTTTTTTATCTTCTGATACCAAATTTCGTCAGTTTAATTTGTCTATACCTTTATATGAGGTGTTTAATTAAGCCTATAAAGATCCATGCTAAAAATTCATCTGAAGGTGATGAGAATAAATGAAATAAAAGAAACTCTATAATTATGATTTACATTTTTATTTTTATTTCAAATCTCAGTAATCACGGGGTTTTGGGGTTTTGGGGTTTTGGGG